TTTATGAGGATATAAAATGATTTCAGGTCAAAAAAGTCTCGAGAGTGTTTTTTTTTTCATCTCAAGCGGTGTAATCATTTTTTTTTTTTTTTTTTTTTTTTTTTTTTTTGGAATCATGGATGTTAATCTGACCAGGATTTGAACCCACAAGCGCGTTCGATTGTGACTATGCTGCTGTTCATATAACTTCTAACCACCACTAAAGTGGTGTTCAATTGATTAAATTGCAAAACCCAGTTTGCTGTTCACACACACTCAATTAAGTTCTCATAATTATTGTTTGGCTGTTTATGCTTTTAATTTGCTTATAATAAATAAATACATATATTTAAAGCGAATTAGTTGTGCTTTTAAAAGCTTAATTTTGACTAAATTAATAGTTTGTTTGCTAAAATGCTCCCAATTAGCTAATTGCGTGTCTATGTGAACAGTGTTTTAGTTAAAAAAAAAAAAATCGTAATTGATTGGACGCAATCTGAAAAGCAAATATAATAGTTAAAAGTTAGTATGGTATTGTCCCGGTTATTAATTTAATTGCTTAAAGAACTCTCAATAAACTAATTGAGTGTCTGTGTGAACAGTGTTTTTGGTTCAGAAAATATTTATTTTGCCATAATTTCAAAATATTTCGGATTGAAAGTATAATTTTGTGGTATTTAATAGTTCAGTTGCTTAGCAGCACTCAATTAACTAATTGTGTACCTGTGTGAATAGTAGTTTAATTTAAAAAAATTAACTAATTTGCTGCCAGCAATAAAATTTAACAACTGCTTAACAGTAATTTTAACAAAAAGTACTTAATTTTTGCCTTAATTTCCTCCAGTGGTCAAACACTCCTAAAGTAATACTAGAAATACTTATTTTCTCACAATTTTCATACTAAGAATTCCTAAATACATATATAAATATGTATATATATGTTTTGAAACTATTGTTTGAGCTCTAATGAGAATAATTTTGTTTCAATTAATGGTTTATTTGTTAAATTGCGCTCAATTAGTTAATTGAGTGTATGTGTGAACAGCGGTTTAATTACGAAAACTATTTAATTTACTGTTTTTTTGTATTGTAATCGTGTTATAACTCACTTTCCGCCGGAGTTCCACCATTTAAAGTGCTTTAAAGTTACAGTGCAGAGAGCTCACAGACAGCTGCGCTTAATCACCTTACTTATATGCTGCCTGAAGTAGATATTTTCTAACGAGTAAGAATTTAGACTCGACTGGAAGTGCTTCTAAACAGTCAACGTATTTGCTAAAAGACTTTAAGAGTTTTTTCATAATTGGTGTAGTCACCGCTTACACAATTATAACCGAGCCAAAAACTCTTAATTCTTCTTCTAGCGCGTTCATTTTAAGAAACCAACACTTTATTGAAAGTGGTTGGAGCGAAAATATGTAGCCATTGAGACTTTCTTAATACATTTTTTTTTTTTTTTTTTGAGATTCAAACGAGATTGAGCAAAAAATTACAAAAAACTCAAACGAACTCTGAAGCTTCCTGAGAAGAAAAAAAGAATTCCGAAGATATTTTCGCGAAGCAGACAAGCTTTGTCGTCTCAAGCAGCACCTCAGTGGAAGATGTGAGCTCCTTAAGGCCAAATAATTCAAAGAGTCTCCTCCATAGACCCAACATACACCAGTAAAAGACACTCTACAACTACATGTATGCTTGAATTATTTCAGCTTTTAACCGCAACCACCCACTCAGAGAAGGCAACTTAATGAAAAATTATTCCTTTAAGTAAAAATGTCTATTTATACAACGTCGATTGATTAAAAGTATGCGCGGGCGCTCAAGTGTGTCTACCTGTATGTGACGTGGGAAGAGAAAGCTCGTTAATGACAAGTGATTATCTCGAAATTAAATACTGTACCTGCTACACTGTGTTTACACAATTGAGATACGCGAAGCTACAATGAACGCGAAAGCATTAATTAACAGTGTGCGGTGAAAGTGGGAGAATAAAAGTAGGAAATCGTATAATTAAAAATGTAAAGGCGCTCTCCGGTAATTACATACAAAGAAGTTCTTAAGTAGATTATTTTCTTCTGCAGCAATAAAGCAGAAAGTTTCTTTCAATTTAAAAGCTCTTAGAAAGATCTCTCCATAACGGAGAGCAGAGAGAGATTTAACAACTGACCGGGGTAGGTATGATTCAAAGGTATTTTCCGTCTACCTGCTACCACTCGAGAGGCTACCGGACGTAGGAATTCCTTCCATCAAGAGTCTTCGCTACTAAGCAACGGAGAACGTTGCGGGCGATGGATTTTAAGGCTCTCGCAGCATAAAAAGTTGACTAAAATAGCTCGCGTACCTTTTCAGTTGCGACGAGGCGCGATAACCGAATGAAGTTTCCAACCAGTAATCGCGTCTCGTTGGTTAGATAATGATTTGACCGTTCCCGAGAGCTTAGTTGCCACAGATGATAGATTACAGGATCTCAACTGCTGCACCCAATTAGGCCGCTCATAAATGTTGACTTAACACTGAATCTGCTTATTGAGTTCGCTGATGAGGGGATTTCCGAGGTCGTTGTGTTGAATGAAATCGCGCTTAGATGCTAGAAGCCACTCAACCTTCGAGAAATTCGGCCTGGCGGGATGAAGTGGGCAGCAGCGAACACGACTATTCTGCGAAAGGAACGTTCACCGGCTGTGACGTCAGTTGGAATGTGGAGAGCAATGAAGCCATTAGCTTTTTTAACGTTAACAAACGTCTCGGGATTCACGGAAACACAATTGGGAGGATTGTAGAATGCTCCATGAGACCATAGAAGACTATGGGTGGTTGGTTACCCAGAGTGGGTAAGGATGCTAAAGTCACTGCCGTAGAGTTTTGAGGCGTATTTGAGCGGGGGGCACGTAACGCGTGGACCAGTCCCTGTGTTATGAGATTTTTTCAGTCATACTATTCGAAAAATGTGTATACACATATACATACATACATACATGTGTATAAATTGCAAGATTAAAAGAATCACGTGAGTGAGCAATTTGTCTTATATATGAGTGATCATACATACTTACATACATATATGAGTACAGGCTTATAAACAACATAATACATATATATTCAATAGGCGATATTCAATCAGTCGTTAACAATAACAATTTAAGCTTCATATTTACTCGACGCAGATCAACCCCTTTGGAGCGACATTTAAGTGACAGTTATTGCAAGCAAAAGTGTTGAAAGTATTTACATATATACCAATATGTTGACTTGTATATATATATATATATGTACATGTTTATGTATGTTTGTGGCTTCGGTGTGAAAATTTAATATCTGCTGATGGCCATTTAAAAGCTCATATGAGACTTACAGACGTTAATATTAAAGAAAAATATAACAATGTGTGTATGTATGTATATCCTCGCTACGTAAAAATGAAAATAAAATATTGTATGTATATGTAAAATTTGTTGAACTGCTTCCTTGTTTTTTTTTTTTTTTTTTCCTACGTGAATGACACCAATTTTCACTGGTTGCGTTGCTTTCATACATATTTGCATACATAACTGTATATATGCACAGCAACAAATATATTCTCAATGCCTTGCGGGTGAAACCTCTTTGTGGCTTGAGTGAAGTAAACAACAAAATTGCGGTTAATTTCATAAGAAAAATGTTTTATTGGTAGATGATAGTAAAAGCTTAGAGTAGGAATTAAATGTATGTATGTATAAAACATAAGGAAACTACATAAATGTAACTTAGAAAACATTTAATTTAAAAGAGAAAATGTATTTAAGGGAAGGAATTTAAATAATGAAAAATTATAGAAATAAATTGAACGTTTGAATGAGGCAAAAAGTGTTTAAAAATAATAAAAGAAAATAGTTAAAAAATAATAAAAAAATAGTTTTATGCATTAAAGTAGGACTTGTTGCTTGGCTGTGTCAAAGGCTTTGGCAGATTCAATGCTTTTGTCCTTGCAGTTCCCGCATGCTTGATTTTGGTTAAGGCCATGAATTTTCTAGGTTTATTTTACTGTACACGCTGTGGTGGATGATATTATTTACGGAAGCCACGCTCGTGTGCTTCTGAGTTCAACTACTATGTACGCTGTTTTCTTCGAGTATTATCAAGGTGGTTGGAGACAGTTTGTGAAACTTATGGAGAAGTTGTGGACCCGCTGAAAAGAAATTTCAGCATCAGTATGCTTCTTCTGCTGAAACCGCTGGATTTAGAGACTTTTGTCCTTTTCGATATCCCCCACAAACTCATTTCAGCGGATATCAGACACCGCGCTGGTGTAATGCAATTTGCGTACACAAACAGGGTGACATTTATCGCTTCATTTTATCAACCGAACTCATATATTTTTAACATACTAAGGGCGGTGGGATGTGCACAAACAGAAGACTCAAGCCAATGCCTGTGAACTCGGTTGAAAGTGAGGGTAATTGGCAAACGCAAAAAAAAAATAAAAGAGTTAAATAAAATGTGTGGTCATTTACGTCATTCGAAAGTGAAGGGTAATAGTGTGAATGAACATGTGAATGTTATTGATTGTGTGATAGACGAAATGAAAGGGATGAATGTGTGTTAATAAACCGAAAAGTTTATTAGAATCAGCATAGAAGTAGTTTAAATTGAAGTCAAATTTAAAAAAAATTTCAACTAAGTTTTTTTCTTTCAGTTTTCTCAATGTTTAGTTACATGTCTATAATAAAAGTGAAATATTGTGAGGGTAGATAGAAAGTTAAAACAATCGTTAAGTGACGGCCTGAATGTGAGCGACGTTTATGAGAGATACACACGCAACATTAAATTTGTAAGACGAAGGCCCAAAGGCTGCCTGACTGGCGCTGCAGGTGAAGAGGTGTCGCTCAGATAATTAAAAATGTTTATAAACTAATGAATATTATTTTTATATTTTTTTTTTGCATAGCTCGATAAATTAAAAATAATACATCAAAAATAATTTTCAATAATTTTGCTTTCTACTACAATAATTTTAATATTTATTTTTTAATTTTGCTTACTTTCAGGCACCTATTCGGTAATCGCTGGAATTAAAACGAAAATAAAATAAAAATATTTACAAAAAAATTAGCGGTTAGGAAAAATCGTGCTTAACACATTAACAGCGCATTTAACATCAAGAAATATAAATTAATTAAATTTGTTAATTAAAGAAAAACAAAAAAAAATTATTGAAACAAAAATTTAAATTAAAAAGGGAAATTTAAAAAATAACTTTAGTCTAGGGAGGAAAAATAATTAAAGGAAAAATAACCTATAGTTTTATTCAATGAAAAATTAAGCACTTATTGAATGTTGCTAGAAAATATTAAAGTAATTGTTTTTGTAGTTGTAGCTTTAAGTAAAACATCATTTTGGAAAAAAAGATACTCATACGCAACGGCCAACCAAGGAATTCATAAATAAATTATATCGCCAAACAATAAAATAGAAAATGAACTGAATTGATAATTAATTAATTGTGGGAAATTTAAAAATTTATTTTATTCCTGTAAAAAAAAAAATTATTGTACTTAAAAAAATACAGAGAAAAGAAAATTAATAGAAAAATTAAAAAAATCATATGTACAAAAACCATTTAAAAAATTTATAAAATATTTTGATGGCTACAATTTAAAAAAAAAAAAAAGAATTCTTAAAAAAATATATATAATATATATATTAAAAAATTACACTGAAAAAAGTCACTCATACGCACCGGCAATGCAATAAATACCACCCGAGGAATGATGAGTAGAGGTTTTATTAAAAAAAAATGCAATCAAATAGAAAGTTATAAATTAGTAATAAACTACGTTATTATTGAACAATTAATTTTTTATTGAAGCGATTTCTCTCTTATCAGCAGCGCTGAGCAAACTAATTGAATGAAGCTAATTTCCAAAATGTGCACAAAAACCCAACTAAAATAATCTCTAAGTTGTATAGAAGATAAAAACAAAATACTTCATAATCACAACAATAAATTTCAAAACAAAACAAAAGCAAGCTAAAATAAAAAAAATATCAACAGAAGCAAAAACAAAAACTCTCGCGCAAAAATTGACAACATGACAGAGAACAAGGATAAAACTGCCACTGCTGGCACCGGTGGAACCGGTGCTATTAGTAAGCGTAGAGACAGCAGTGCTGACGAGAATGGCACAGAAATTACGCAAGACCAACAAACCACAGCCGTCGGCTGCGATAGCACAAAGCCGAAGGATAAGAAAAATGACAGCGAAACGACAGTCGCCGTGGCGGATACGCAACATGAAAGGGAAAAGGATAAAGAGGCGGCAACAACGCACGACAGGTAAGTAAATGAGTGTGCTCAGTGGAAAGAAATGAAAGAAAGAGTGTTATAAAATGAGTGTAGGTGGACACACACAGATACATATATGTATATAGAAACATAAATGAATGTGAATGACACAAACAAACTTTAACAAATAACCACATACACGAGATGATATGTACAAAGTGTTTCAGCAGAATAAATGTACATATTATATATACTCGTATATGAATGCGACATAAATGTACAGGTATATAACGAAAAGCGTGTTTTGGTACGTATTGTACATTGCCTGGCTGCACGTTTGTAACATCAATTGGAATGCGGGGCGATATATATATGTATATACATTTTTCAATTTTATTCTACAAAAGTTCATTGTATACGCGGTTGCACTTTGCACAAAAAGAAGTATAAGAAGAGGCAGGAAAAAGACAAATGACTTGCCTGATCTGAGCAATGTGATATGTTTTAATAAGCCTAGCTGCGTGAGTGGATTTCGTTTTCTCTGTAAATAAAGAACATCCGAAACACATAATACAAATACAAATGAAATTTTTTCTTAACCTATATTTAATTTCATTTTCTTTCTCACCTTTATTTGACAAGGTGAGAGTTCGACGGTTAAGTGGATTAACCTTGCCTGACACATAACACAGACCTTGCAAACGAAAGCAATGGCAAGGCCATGAGAACTGTGTATGAAAAGATAGGAAACACAATAAAAAGATTAGACATATATATATATATATATATATACATATATATATATATATATTTATTAAAAACTTGTATAAAAATATAATAAAATTAAATATATTGAAATGAATTGAAAAATATTTACAAATATAAATTAAATTAAATTAAGTATAATAGAGGAAAAATAAAATAAATCGGCCGAAAATCGCTTCAGCGGTTACAAAGCGCCAATTGTATATAAAAAATAAAATAAAATGAAATAAAATAAAATGAAAAGAAATAAAATAAAATAAAATAAAATACAAAAAAAAAAAAATATAAATAATAAAAATTAAATAAAAAAAATAAAATATAATTAAAATAAATTAAAAAATTAAATTAAATTTATTAAAACTAAGTAAATAAACAAAAAATTAAATAATCTATAAAAAAACTAAAAAAAACAAAGAAAGAGAAAATAAATAAAAATCAAATTAAATAAAATAAAATAAAATACAATTAAATATAATTAAATAAAAATAAAAAATAAAACAAAAATATAAAACAAAGTTTAATAAAACAATATAAGTTAACATAAAATGAAACAAAAAAAATTAAAAATTTTACCAAAATAAAATAAGATTAAATAAAAAAATAAAATAAAATATATTAAATCAAATAAAATAAAATTAAATAAAATAAAATAAAATGAGATAAAGTAAAACAAAATAAAATAAAATATAATAAAATAAAATCACATAAAATGAGATAAAATAAATTAAAATAAAACAATATTAAATTAAATAAAATAAAATAAAATAAAATAAAATAAAATAAAATAAAATAAAATAAAATAAAATTAAATAAAATAAAATAAAATAAAATAAAAAATTAAATAAAAACAAATGAAACCGAAATAAAAAAAATATAAAACTTTAAAGAATTAAAATAAAAAACATAAGTAAAATAACATGTAATAAAATAAGCTAAAATAAAATAAAAAAAAACGATAAAATGAGTTGAAATAAAATGATATAATAGAAAAAATAGAATAAAATTTTGCAAAATAAAGTAAAGTATAATAAAATAAAATTAAGTAAATTAAAATGAATTTAAATGATTAAAAATAAAATTAAATTGAATTATATTCAATAAACAAAATAAAATATTTTGTAATTAAATGTAAAATAAATATAAACAAAAAATGAATTAAACCAAATTAAATACATATATATTCGTGCTCGCTGAATAACAAAATCTGTGCAAAAAAATTTAATTAAAATATTAGCTTCGTTTTTTTTTATTACTGGGAATTCAGTAATTAGCGAAAATATTTAATTAGTACATGACCACAATAAGTTTTTTTTATTTACATATGTTTAATAAATTAAAAAATATATTACAATTGCCATGCGTACTTTTTCCACAAATACCTGCGGCAGATTTGTAAAAATATACTTTCCTTTAATTGAAAAGAATCCTGCTACAAATTACAAGCCCACAATGACGCGATGCTACAAAAAAAGTAACTATTATTTTTACTTCGCACGAACAAAATAACAAATTTTTTGAATTTCAAATATTTTTTTTTTCTTAAATATTGTAATCTGCAAAGTGAAATTAAATATGTTTAAGCACACTGAGTATTAAATATCGAGGTGGAGGTTAAACCATAACTTGTACACCTAAATGTACATAGCTAACATGGTACATATTATTATATCTACTCATCTATCTACTCATTAATATCTGTATTATCATGTAATATATGTGTAGCCGTTTACTCATTGCCGTATAATGAGATATCGCTTATAAATGGAACTTCTTTGCAAAATATTTTCACCAATTATTCAGTAGTTTTTTATTAGAAAATTGCAACAAATACAACAGAGTACCCTTTTCAGCAATAAAAATGCTCAAAGCTCGAAATATAGTATTATAGTTTAATTTACTATTTTCACCCCAAATTTAGGCAACGTTATGTGGTAATGTTTACTTTCCAAACAATAAAGTAATACATTGCCTACATTTCAGCTTAAATTTAGCAAAGACACATACTCGGCGACATGAAATGTTTGCTTTAAGGAGTTAATGCAGTACAGAAATTTTATTCAAAGTTTAATTTCACAAGTTAATACATACAAAGTCTCACTTTAACCATAACATTATTGTTATACAATTTGTTCGTAATTTATATGCCCAGATTGTTTAAGCCCTCGGGCATTAACATCATTTTAATGTCGAGTATAAATAGATTTTAGAGCTACAAAGCGCTAAATTAATTCAGCACACGAGTAGGTGTGTACAATTGATCTATTTATAGTATAAATGCTAATTAGTTTGTAAACAAGCATCTTTATCTTCCACCATTATAGCGTATTCATAGAATTAAAGTTACACGTGTTCAACATTGGGCTTTAACTTAACTATTCTCGGTACAAATTATGCAATTAGTTGTCTTTATCTCATTATATTATAAGAAATCAGATTAGGTGCGTGACTTTGCTTAGCTCTGTCTAAATGTATACTACGTTTTATATAAAATTTGAACAAGACAAAAAATTAATAAAAATTGTGGCCTACATTTAGGTAAAATTTAGCGGGGACGAACACCAAAAAAAAAATTTTGTTGAAAATATATTAGTCTAATGAAAAAAATTGTTTTTAATTCATTTATTTACAAAAAAGATGTGAAGCTTAAAATCTTAACTAATCATATTGATTTTTAGCAAGAAGTGACTTTGGTTATTAAACTAAATTAAATAGGATGCCAGAAGATATTGTTATAGTCTAAAAAGGCTTCAAGAATATCAGTATTGGGATGCCCTGAAACTCCGGCAATAAAACAACAGTTGAACGAATATTTTTCTCACTTTTCTTTCTCAATCCTACGGCTACTGGGTATTGGTATTTTTTTTATTAGAGTTTTCTTTAAAGTTTTCAGCATCAGAATTGATTAATGGCAATGAAAAAGTGTTCAGCGAATTGCTCTTACAGTTGGACACATAATTGACATTCAACTAAAACTATCGGCGAATTTTGCTGGAAAATCTGCTGCGTGATTAATCATAATCAGCAGAAATTTGTTAGCTTTCGCGTGTATCGACTGTGCAGCTTTGAGTAGAAGTGAGGTAAAATACCCCAGAGGAAAAGTTTGTGAGAAAAATAAATCTTCTATTTTCACACAAAAAAATTTGCGGAGGCAATAAATTCAGAATCTCAGTGAATTTAGCTGCAATCTAACTCAGCTTCGTTCGTTCAGACAGGGAAAGGAAGCTTTGCCTTCTTGGCATGATTTTCTCAAAGGACTGAGCATGAGTGAGCCCAAGGCCATTATACTCTATTAGCTGTCCAAATAAATTTTGGTCTGTCTCAATGAAACTATCCTCCGTAGAAATCTGTCTACCACTTCCATGATAGCAGCAGCTTCTACCTAAAAAACCCCACCACAATGGTCCCAAAATCTCGTCCCTCCGGAGCCGTATAACACTCTACAGCGGACTTCCGCGACGACTTTACGCCAAGCTTGGACTTATCCGTGCAAAAGTAAAGTGGTCCACCCTTCCACTGACTTTTCCCTTCCAATCTCTCAGCGAAGTGATTATGTCTCGGATCTACAATAATTCAGTTTCTCTTTGCAGTTTTAACCTCTCAAGAACAGCCAAATGCTCGCGCTGTTCATTGGTAAGTCTGTGTATAATACAGCGACTTTTGCATGGATGGATGTACCTGCAGTATGTGCAGACCGCTAAACGCCAGCGTTTGAGTAATTCTAAATGCACCACAGAGGCCTATGGCAGCCACGCAGTGAACGTTTCCCAGTTGCCTGGCCTAGGTCTTTCTAGACTCTTCTATCACACAAAATCTGTGTAAAACAAGATAGATTTGAGTTCAGCTCTGGAGATCTAATATAATATCTCAAGAGAAACGTCTCTTATCGATTGCTTCTGAAACAATTTGAGACTTCTTCCTCTCTCGATGGTTGCCTTCCAGAAAAACCTCAGCTATGGGATTCATTCAAAGTACTTCCCACGTATTTCTGACAAATTACTTCTGGTATTCCATACCCTTTGCTGAATAAGATAAGTTCCAACTGACTGTGATTTACGACAACACCAATTTTGCTATAGAAGACAAGACACTTCATTCATGGCAGGCAGACAAGTCGTATTAGATTAGGGTTACGGTTTTAAGGTCACTTAGTAAATTAGAGGAACTAATCTCGTTCCGAGGTCCTATCCGATACTAAGAGACCAGGAGTAAGAGCACATACTACTAAGTATAATCCAATATCCCAAGGTTCAAACCCACAACTGGTCTTCAATTAATTTCCACGTGGG